TTAACATGAACTCTATACTTTTCTTATGAAAATTATGAATAATTATTAAGGAAATATGACTATGGTACCTAGGGAACTACCCTAGGATCTATGTTTTCTATATAAAAAATTCTTCGCCTAGGTGACTAGGTGACAAGACGCCCCCCTGACACCCAGCCTCGCCTTGGCGCCTTAAAAACTATGATTATCTCATGTTAAGGCACCCTAACATAAATAATATAGTGACTGCCACCAAGCCCATTGGATTCTCCAAAAAAATATTCTCTCTCTTTTCAGAAATAAAAAACAGGGAAAATGAAAAAAACATCAAAGATTTATTTGAAGAAAAATCGGTATTCTCAGTTTGGAAATAGAGGAGAAGAGAAAGCAATTGAAAGGCTGAAGAGAAAGCACCAAAACCAGGCTGTTAGCTGCCCTAATGCATGTTATTATTTGAACAGATTACAATTAAGGGTATAAAGACCTTACTACTCTTACTTAGCCACAACAAAAGAAAAGATGGGCCTATGTGGCCCAATACGACAACCCCAATAACAGAATAAAATAAAATAAATAAACTGAGCCCATTAAACAATAACAAACCCCAAAGAAACTATAGGTTTCTAATGCATGTTATTATTGAACAGATTATAATTAAGGGTTTAAAGACCTTACTACTCTTACTTAGCCACAACAAAAGAAAAGAAAGATGGGCTACATTGGCCCAATACAACAACCCCAATAACAGAATAAAATAAATAAACTAAGCGCATTAAACAATAACAAACTAAAGAAACTATAGGTTTCTCAACACTCCCCCTCAAGTTGAGCATAGATATTAATCATGCCCGGCTTCCTTACATAATGCTGTAGCATAGGCTTTGGAACTCCTTTTGTAAACACATCCTTTAGCTGCTCTTCAAAGGCAATGAATGGAAGACAAACTTCTTCAGAGGCAACCCTTTGTCATATGAAGTGTCTTTTAGCCTCAATATGTTTTCTCCGATCATGTTGGATTGGATTGTAGACAACATCTATTGCTGCCTAGTTGTTGCATTATAACACCGTTGGCTTCTCATGAACAAAACCAAACTCTCCAAGTAGGTACCTAAGCCACACAAGCTCTAGGGCACCATGGGCTGTTGCTCTATATTTTGCTTTCGTTGATGATCTAGTTACAACAGATTGTTTCTTACTCCAAGAAACTAAATTACCACCAGCTAAGAGTACAATACCTAGAGGTAGATTACTTGTCATCCACAACTAGCCCAATTAGCATCTGTACAAGCCTCTATTCACATATGCCCATTGATTAGCAAACAATTTCTGGCCATGTCATGCATAGATGCAACAATTTACCAACTAGTTTTAAAAAATACTCCCCATTTATAGTCGAGATTTTATGGTTACCATCAATAGGCATAAAACATACTTTCCTTTGTGATATAAATATGTTTACATCTGACCGTGCAACTTCAAAATCCAAGAAGTACCTCAACGCACCCAAATCTTTAATTCAAATTTAGCTCTAAGAAACTATTTTAACTTAACAATCTTCTACTAATCATCACTAGTCACCGCAATATCATTTACATAAACAATAAGAGCAGTATGAAAAGAACCATGCCTCTTAATGAACAATGTGTGATCAGACTGGGCCTGAGAAAGAGACAAGTTTTGACCCTTTAAATAAGGTTGAAAGAAAAGTGACGTGATTACAACATAAACTTTTCAAAATTCTAAAAAAAGAAGAATCTCTTAGTTATTGGCCCTATCAATACCTCAAAATTGATTGATCCCTTGGTTAGAACCTTCTCTAGAGATTGCTTATTCTGGTGGGACCCATAGGAGCCTAGTGGATCCTACATAAAAACACAGTTTTCTGAAGGAAGCTCCAAACCCTTAGACTTGCTTCTTTTTCTACTTCTTCTTGGTCAACACATGAACTCTGTCCTGCCATTCTGCTTTATCAGCAGCTGAGTTTGTTGCAGATAGTAAAGTTCTTGTGTCATTCATTTGTTAAAAATATGTAAAACTTGCAGATGGATCTTCAAAGGAGAAGTGAAGAAGCACAAACAGGATTGCAGGATTCACAGAAGCTGGAGTAACAAAACTATGTCACAATATCGGTCCTCTAATACCAAATGTTCAATGAAGGGAAGGGGCACACATGCTTCAGCGAAATGAATTCCTACCCCTGAGAATCAATAACTTGGTCTGGGTAAGCCTCATGCATTCTCACGATGCCATCCCCATTTATTCCTCAATAACCTGAATTTTCAATTATTTTCTTTTGAATTCCACAATGAGAAGATTCTATTTCTATTAATTTTTTATAATTTTAGGTGTTTTGCAAATCATTTCACAGCCTGGATTCACATGAAGAGAGGCTGCTGATTAGCCAAGCAGTTCTGCCCATTCCATATTTCTGTTGCACTCCATTCTCAGGAAATCCCAAGATTGGTAGTGAGCTTCGGCAATAAGTGGATCCAGAGTTAGCTATTAGAGTACAGCTGTAAAGTTATTTCTATAGGCAAGGTTAACATTTTGCAATACGTTTGTTTCCCGTTAAGGAAAAAAGAAAATTACTAACATTTCCAATTCATTAGGTTTTAACCTATAGTGATTGAATTACTCCATTGTAACAGTGACTATTCTTGTTTAAGATTAAGAGCAATTCTTATTTATTTAATTTTTAAAATCTATTGGTGTATACCTAGAATTTTACTATTGGATTTCTTAAAATATGAGATTATTGTCATGATATATTATATATAGGTCTATATGGAACTCAATCTTGTACTATTTTATAAAATGGGTTTTAAGCACATTTGAATAAAGATGGAATGTTTATCAAAACTTTTCATCTTTAGTATAATTATGCAATATTTTCTTTTGATACCTAATTAATGAGACCATAAAAGATGTTAACCATGTGATAACATATAGTCAAAGATTGCATGAAGAACTAAATCCATACCAGAAGTTGAAGTTGGCAAAGTCGGGGAGTGTACAGAGATACATAAGAGTGGTGTGAAATTGGACAAAGATTTGCCAAAAAAAAAAAAGATTAGTTACAAGATTCGAAGGTAGGAAACAAAAGGAAAGGAAAATGTGTCACTCATTCAGGTTTTTCTGCTTTAAAATTACCAGGAAGGCTATCTGCCAATTGGTGATCAAGAAGTTCATTTCAGCTAAGTGAAACATCATATTCGGTAATCAACTAGAAAACTCCTATTAAAAAGTCAAATAGAAAAAAAATTATAGAAGTTTTAAATAGTCATATTTTTAGTTGTAAATTAATGAACAATAAATGCCTATTTAACCATGGTTTGCAATTTCGATATTGATGGGCATTTTGTATACAAAGACGGGGAAATTTTGGAGATATTTTACTAAAATATTTGGAAAACCGAAAGGCCTAAAATCCATGAAAAACAATTTTATATATGAAACTAATAGGGACCCGTGCATTGTGTAGGTATAACATTTCATATAATATCTGTTATGGAGTTAAAAGAAAACTTCAATAATTAACTATCATTTTATAAATCAAGAATGGCCTGTTCTATTTATTCTCATGATTTAGAAATTGTATCATTAATACAATGATATTTTTTAAGAATAATTTGATCAAGGAAAATAAGTGCTTAGCTTGTTGATATTCTTACTCCATGCGAAATTGCAAACCTATAAATGTGGAAATTAGTAACGTAGTTAATTATGGTTAAGGAGTATATTAGTTTTTTCTTCTCTAAGATCACTTCCTAAGATTATTGGGAACTAGCGGTGGCAATTGGGTGGGTTGGGTTGGGTTTGGTTTGGTTTGGGTTGAGCTTCAACCTGATTCATCTAACCCGCCAACCTATTAATGATCTAATTATATAAAATTAAATGGGTTGGGTTCAACCCAAACCCGCTTTAATCCAATCCAACCCTCCCAAACCCATTAATCTTATATTTATGTACTTAAACAAAAAATTAACTTCTTCTTAACAAATAAGTTAGTCATAGCTTGGTGGTAATAGTAGTTGCTATTTATACAAGTAGTGAAGGTTCAAATCACACATTATTCAAAAAAAAATGGTTGAAATCACATTATATGCATGTTATTTTTACACAAGCAACAAATCCATTTGACTATGTTTCGAATTTCGGATTTGACCGAACCACTTAGGTTCAAACCGGTCAGACCAACTTGAACTATATCTAATTGGATTGTCTTTGAGCTAATCACATCAAGAGTGGTTGAATTTTTTAGATCCGGATTAGCTCCGGTTGGACCTGACCAAACTGGTTCACTTCGGTCAGACCAGATCGGACCAGTTCAGTCAATGACAAATTGACTTGGATCGGCCCATATCAGGTTTGTGCACGGGTTTTGGACTGAACCGACAGGCTCGAAGCGGGTCAAAAGAAGTAAATTGGGTTGGTCTAGATTCAGGTCGGATTGTACAGATACGAGCCGAACCGGACAATCTAAACCAGACAAAGCAAGCAGGGAAAATTTAGGGTTCGGACCCACCCGGCCTGATCCTTTTCGTATTTGGGTCAGGTCAGGTTTGGGCTGGGCTGAAAGACCCAAATGAATTGAACTAAGGTGATTGGGTATGTTCATATTTAGACCAAATTGAGCTTGTCCAGACTTGGGTCAAGTTGATTTGGATTTATGTCAATTTGGGTGAAGTTTGTTGATTTGAGGCAAAACTAATTTTAATCAATAATTAATAGAAAATTAATGTATTAATTATAAATTATTTCATTCAAATGAAGAAAATAAAAAAATGGCTAAGAAATTAATATTTATATCTTTAGTGGTTAACCCAATGGTTATCCACAACCCAACCCATTTAAATTGATCCAATGGGTGATCAAACCCATTCCAACCCGGCAAGTAAATGGGCGGGTTGGGTGGGTTGGGTGAAAAACTGCCACTCCTATTGGGAACATCTTCTTTGTCATTCAATGGAAATGTTTATGGATACCAAAGGCCCAGTTGGAACATGTTGGTCATGTATTGTTGGTCGCAGATCCAAACTTTATAAAGTCACACACATTTTACAAAAATGGTAACAGGCAAATACATGAGATGTTCTCAATGTGAGGTTGTGGTGATGTGTGGGTAGGAGATCAAAACTCAAGAGTTACACCTAAGAGTTCCTTCCTGGTTTTGCTCTTTCAGATCTCAGATCCTATAGATCCCCCTTCTTAGTTGCACTTGGGTTAGAAAACATAGTGTAAGGGCATGGAATTAGCAATCACGCATCTTATGAAGTAGGTGCCATTTTGCCATCATTCGAGTAGCCCCATCCTCCTGCACACAGAAGACCTTAGGGGTGGATTCGAGCTGAGCCGAGTCGAATACTTGGCTATTCGAGCTCAGCTCATAGGAATAGTATTAGGTTTGAGCTCGATTTGAGTTAGAGACTTGAGTTCGAGCTCGGCTCGGTTCATAACTCGCAAGTTCAAGCTCAGCTTAGCTCGAGCTCAACTATAAGACAAGTTTTTTTTGAAAAATAAAAATTATATGTATAAAATTATTTGTCAAACAAAAAAATAAGAATTATAAAAATTATTTACTATTATACATAAAAAATAAAAATATTATTATATAATAAAATTATTTATTATATGTATATATATATATATATGCATGTATATATGTATGTATTTATATATAATAAAAATTATTTATTTAATACTAGACTCACGAGCCTCATGAACCAAGCTTCACTGGATTCGAACTCAACTCAATTAGCAAATGAGCCTATATATACCGAATGCAAATTCAACTCGAAGCTAGGTTTAATTTAAACCGAATCGAGCCAAGTTGAAATAACTTGTAAAAGCTCATGGCGACCCCCAGAAAACCTAATTCCTTATAAAACTAGTTGAAGCACTAAGAGAGCAGCTGTCACATTAAAAATAGTGTAACACTGAAACTTCATAGAAATTCACCCATTGGTCCATAGGGCTGAACCATATTAAATCTCAGTGTTCTTTGTGTTCACACTTATTTTAATATTTTCTGGGTTTTTGGCATATAACAAAATTCTAATGGGTAACATAATCACCCTAGGCTTCATAACTTAGCAATTATGTAAATCCCATATTGCTATTACTAAAATTTTTATTGTCTTGATGTTATGGTTTTAAATATGGAATAATTTCCACATCCTTCCACCTACTATTTTGAGAAGTTACCATTTACCAAGCCCTCTTGCTCAATGTTGTTGAGAGAGAGAGAGACTGCCGTCAAAACCTTGAGCACTGACACGCAGTCCATTAGAACAGCTGTTTTCTTGCTTAATTATAATGTGATAAAGGTATTGCCCATGAGCCACCTTGAGCACTGTTCGTTGGTGTGTTAGATGTCTTTTTCCAGCGTTGATGCGGAATCAAATTCGCAACCGGCACTCTAGGGAAAAAGGGTCAAGGGGAAGTTAATTATTAATAGTGCATAGCTCCGAATCATATGCTCTGAACATGGCCATCTCTTGGAAATTGGAAGGGCCTTAAGCATTGAATAATGGCCACATATCTTAATGCACCATCTCTTGCTAGCATGTCTGATTTATTGGATGGTGGCAAGATTTTGCTTTGACCATAGCCGCAGTAGATGCAAACTCTCCTTACTGCTGTATTTGGTTTGATAGAAAATACATGAGAGAAAGCCTAAGCAAAACTGATGAATATTTCTGAAATAAATGATGTGAAAAATCAAAATATCCAGTAAGGATACAAACTTAGTTTTCTCCATCTTATGGAAATGAATGCAATACAGAAGTACAATTAAAAATGTCCCTTCTTGCTTTCTAGCAGAATTCTTCTTTCATTGGCTCCTCATTTTAAATTTCCAAGCCAATCCAAACTTTTTTCATCATTAATCTTCTTTATCTTGAGTTTGGAGAGATGGGGCTGAAGGGGTTCCCACAGAAAGGCTGTTTCTTCATCACAAATCACAGTGTCTAGATTTTGAAGGCCAGAGGCTAACCTTGGCAATTCCTTGACTGGGCAGCGTCTCATGTCGAGTTTTCTCAACTCCTTCAACTCACCCATCTCTCTCGGCAACCTCTTCAAGCTCACACAGTCAGATATATCAAGGAACACCAACTTTTGGAGGCCACCAATTGACTGTGGTAACTCCATCAATTCCGTACATGCATGCAGCCTTAGCACCTTCAACTCCTTCATACGCCCAATCTCTTCTGGAAGTGTGGATAAACTATGACAATTTGTGATACTGATTTTTTCTAGGTGGACAGCATCACAGATCCCCAGTGGCAGTTCCACTAGATCATCGCAATAGTCGATCTCAAGCTCAGTGAGATTTGGCAGCATTATGGGGATCTTGATACTGCATTTCCTTAAGGCTTGTCCAACTTTACACATAACCAACGATATCTTCTGCAAATTCTTCAAGGATACTGCAATGTCAGAAAGGGAAGGAACTGAAATTTTCTCTAACCTGATTCTCTTCAATTGGGATAGATGATGAAGTGCCTCTAAATTACAAAGTTTGGCATGTCTGAGTCCATTATTTGTGATGATGAGAACCTTCATCTTTCCCATATTCTCCATGAATGAGGGCAATGAGTAGTTTGTCTCTAGGAAGTCCAGAATTAGAACCTCAGCTTCAGGAAGTTGCATGTGGCACCACCTCGAGGAAAACTTCTCACCTAAAATCCATAGCCTAGAATGTAAATTATATGTACAAACAAGGTGAAGCAGCAGTTACGATGCAAATGCATACAAAATATAAGGTTTTGCACTCTACATATTTGTATACTTCTTCCAAGCTGAACCAAAAGAACAAATATGAGTCACCTGTAAGAATAGAGACGAGGCGGGCACTGAAGCTTTCATCAGTTTCTACATGCCAGCTCTTGGGAAGGGCATCTTCTCTTCTTTCCATTAGAAGTCTCTTACTCTTTTTAATGTCTTTCTTCTGCTCCTTACCTTGGTAGATAGCCAAATCTCTAAGTAGATCATGCTGAACAACGTACTGCTTGTTGAAGTAGCCAAAAAGTTCAGATACATCTTGCCTATTAAAATCATCAATGGTTGAAGAAACAGTTGGTTAACTACCCAAGAAGAAGAAGCAATAATGGAATATATTGATTTGTTTCCTCTTATCTGCAGTTCGAAAGTATAATGCAACATACCCTGTTGTTCCAACCAGATTAAGAAGATTCCGTGTGTGAAGTTCAAGGAGGTTGACATATGCATCATCTCCATCTAGTTCATAGAGCTCAGTCCACATATCTATAAGAACAGATACGGGGATCCTTTGATCTTCAGGAAATGAACCAAAGTCAAGAAAACATTCTCTAACAGTATCATCTTCAAAATCTAAGCTAGTTGCGAGACGATTTAAGATTTCTTTGTTCATGTCAAAATTGAAGCAACTGTTTGATAACTTCCTCTCCATATTGTGCCATATGATTGTTTTTTTCTGCTTCAGTGAACTGGCAATCACTTTAAGAACAAGTGGATATCCCTTGCAACCTTTCACTATCTGCAATTTAGTGCCACCAAACACAACTCATCAATATAGATTGAGCAAACAGGGAAGATAGTAAACACCCATCACTAAATACTTTGCAACCCTTTTAGAATAACTCATAGATGATCTATCACTCAAATTTGTAAAGGATAAAGTTAGCCTAGGTGCCTTTTCTTTATAGTTATTTGCAACATGTAGACTATATGTTCACCAAGTTCAACAAGGACCATTTCTGGAGATTATTTCAATTACAACAAAATATTCCCATATTTATCATTATCAACAAGGACTATATTATTTTCACCAAGTTTATCATAATGGCACAATATTGATATCAATGAAGTGAATGAATTGGAAATGTTTTGATCATAGCACTGATTCTCCCACCTGTATAACCTCAAAAATCTTTAGCCGCTTGTTTTGTATAGGTGAAAATAAATTATAGAGCAATATGGTATGGAAACATATTTTGCTGCATCAGAACTAAAAAAAAAAAATCAATGTAGGGTTGTAATTCATGCAATCTTTGGCAATAAATGTTGCACATCAAGACTATTGTAGCTCAGGTTGTAAATATCTTGCAAACATGCATGAGGGTGCAGCATTTACAGCCTGAAGTGCTTTCCCAATGCTTGTGTCATAAAACATGTTTCATACCATGGAATTTGCTAAAATTGTATTCAGAAGCATATTAGATATCATTGATCTTCTTCTAATTAGAAGATTCAGAGCAAACTTTGGTCTTTTAAAGGTTGTGTTCCTTGTTTTGTTGATAAAGAATGGATAGTTCTCATTTTTTTATGGGAAAAAAAAAAGGAAATTACTTGGTTTATATGTTTTTTTTTTGTAACACTCAGTGTGGAAGGAGTATATATACTGAACATATTGTATTTGTCCTCCTTTCCAAACTGATCCTAAAGGTTGCTATGCAATTAACCCATATAGCATACAGGTTTTCTTTTAGCATACAAGAGATTCAAAGTGTTAGGAATTGGGGTCACTGAAACTTGGAGTAGAAGCTCTAAGGCATGTCTAAAGACATTGTCTTCATAACATTATTTGCCCCCACTCAATTCCACTAAGTTTGTTGTTGGGTTACAGGCAAATCTGTTCTCATGATACAACAGAACCTTGGGTGAGAATCTGCAACCAGTAAAGTTGAAAAGTCTCTGAAGAAACCTCTATGGGACAATAGTAGATCGATCTGAGAGAGACATGAGTGGTTTTGAAAACTTGTGTGTGCATTTGCTTGATTCGTACTTCTTAAATAATTTCTAAAGAGTCACGGAGCAAAGAAAAGTGCTAGTTCAGAAAATGCTCTTTAAACAATCACAATTTCAAACATTGTGACTGTTAAAAAGGCAGTTAACAGTTAATAACTGTTAAATTTGAATAGTGTCTTTTGATCACACCTTATTGAATCGTGATCGTTAAAACATCAATAGTCAGCCTCACACCAAAAGTCAAAAAGTCGCATTTTGCTAGCCATGCGGGAATGAGCAAAGTGCGCCTAATTGCGCCGCAAACACGCATGCATACGTGTTGTGTGGTAGCAAGTCTCCATACTCTCCTATTTATTTCGAAGGAGTATAAATAAGCTCCTATTTAAAACCTCAAAATAAGTTTTGTAATTTTCCAATATGAAACAAGTTAAAAACTGGTTTTAGTAAGAGAAAAAACTATTTTTCAAAACATGTGTGTAGATATGTTTTTCATGTGATTGATCAATTAAACCCCATTGGATTTATGTATGATAAAAGGATATGTTCTTATATATCATAAAGCTCAGAGAATATTAATGAAAGAATTGCATTTTGGTGCATATATGTGCAACTATGTATTGCATCCATGTAGGCAGAGCAGATAGATATATAAAACACCTTGTCTACAAGCTCGCTGTCTATCATCTCGCACTCCTGATTCTCTATCTGAGAGAATGCCTCATGACAGAAAAGTTTCTTTGCATCTTCATGGCTCAACATTTTCATATCATGTGTTGGCTTAGATGGAAATCTCATCCTTGATGTTACCAGTAACTTGTATCTTTCTGTTCTGAAAAGAAATTTATCAACTACTGATTCTGACCAAACATCATCTAGGATCACCAGCATGTCATCTAGTTTGTTCTTCATTTTGTCTTCCAGCTGCTTAATTGCATCTTCTTCGTTTTGGAATTTGATCGGTGAACCCCCGGTAACCTGTTCATATAATCTCTGTACGATTGTCTTCAAATCAGGTGTACTTGAAATGGTCAAAAAGAAAACATTTTCCTTGAATAAACCTGCTCAAACACAGTACAAAGACATTTACAATTGACAGATCAATGTTCCAGTGTAGAGAGCAAATATACAAAAGAATATATAGGAATATAGGATAATAAATGCATGGCAGCTAGTGCTAATGGGCTTAGCGTAAATTCTGGTTTACTTCTGATTCTGGTTTGACTTTATTTGTATGTTGCCGGAGCTCATTACAAAAAAAAGGAGTTTAGATTGGTGCCCTACAGAGTGCAATCCGATCTCCTACCCACAAAATATGTAACAGTCATGAGATGTTCCCCATGTGTGGCTGCAATGTTACGTGGGTAGGAAATCCAAATTCTGCAGAGTGTGCCCTACATGCACATCTCAACATACAATGTAAACATCTCTCATACTTGTGATGGGAAGATGTTCTCAATACACGGCTGACATGGGCTGTGGGGTGCAGATACTATGGGATATAAGACTTCCTAAAACACGTATGGCCTACTAAAGGGGTGTTTTTTACAATGATATTGCAACGTCAGTTGTGTTTTGGGTTAATCAATACAAATTTTCGAGAGAGATTTTCTAATTGAAACACTTTGAAAATGTTTTGAGTAAATTTATACAAGTTGTTGTTATTTCTACCTAAAACATTGAATTGATATTTTTCAAACATGTACTTTTCTAATTGAAATAACATTTACATGATATGTTGTTTCTACCTAAAACATTGGCTTGATCTTTTTCAGACATGTATTTTTATAATTGAAATAACACTTACATGATGTGGCACTATATATTTCTCATAAATTTGTATTGAGATAGAAAATACAAGAGTATTTATAGATTGAAAATTCCTAATTCAATTGAAATCTTATCTTAATCTCTACCCTTTCATCCTAATTATCATAACAAGATAACCATATCTTAATGGGCAAATTGCTAAAACCTCCCTTGAAATTTGGTAATTGCAATCACCTCTCCTGAATTTTTTGACATAATTGCAAGTAGACTCCCTCTATCAGAATCTTCTAAAAGGGAGCATGAAAATGTCTAAAATATCCATGCAGGTACTTTTGACCAAAATACTTATTTTTCAAATTTTCTCTTCATATGAATTGCTCAGACCCTTCCAATATCTTTTCTAAGATTTACCCTATCTTAATCTCTACCCTTTCCCCAAGTCATTAGAAACCAGCCAAACTCCTTCCAATGGCGTTTCGACCTCTTGCTTAACTTGAACACCTTAGCCAGTTTGATACACTACATAGGACTTATCTACAAGAGATGGATACCACTTGCAACTCAAAAGTGGATCAATTTTGTATATAAATTCGTTGCACCTCTCATTATTTCCAACGTGAGACACTACTATTCATACGTGAATCCCAACAACACCAAAAACAACCAAGGTGGAAAACTAAATAAATTAAAATTGGAATGTAAAACCATATATCATTTGTTGCACCAGGAAATCAAACATCCTCCATCATTGGGATCATCACCATTTCGGATGCTCCTGCCGATCCCACATCATCACCCCATCTCTCGCCTCCCTCTGCCTGGTGGGAACTCACTGCCCCCTTCAACACTAGTGAATAGTGATTACTCCGACATCTACCCAAAGCACCTGATCTTCTTTGCACTTTGAGCCTGCTCACGATCCCCATTACCTTCAATTTTGCCTTCCTAAATTCCTGAAACTGGGGACGTTTCACCCAAGAATATATTTAACACGCACCCTGAAAGCACTACCAATTCGGCCTCCAGACTCTGCCCTCTGGGCCTTCAACTACAATCTGAGCCCTGTAAATCTCCCCTCTGATGATTGAATCTGCTGAGCTCCAGTGTCCTTGAGTCAAACCCTACAAAAACCCTGAGGGCGTCACCACAACTCCTTGAACAGTGCCCATGACCAACCTCCAAATTCAAGTCCATCACCATTAATTTCTGGTCCCTAGCTAGCTGTCTAGTTGCAGACTTCTTCCTCCACATGACAAACAACCATCTCTGCAGTGCGATGCGTCTTCAATGGAGACGAGCGATTAGGCCCGTCTTCCATCACCTGTCACCGCTTCCAACTTGTTGCTGAAGAAGAATAGAATCCTGCCCCCAGCTAACTGTAACATAGAGAGAGCCTCAGCATATTCTCAACAAACTTCGGATCATGGTTTTCAAAACTAGACCGGATCGGATGGTTGGATCAAAAAAACCAGAAAATGGTCAGGCCATTTTTCCTTAAAACTGATTTTTTTTTTCAAAAACCATTGATTTTGATCAACAAACCATTAATCTGGATGATTAACCGTTTGAACCAATCGAACAGTTTTGACTTTTTTTATTTTTATCTTTTATTTTTTGTCAGAACGAACCGATCGTTCGATTCAAACGGTTGGACCGTTTGACCCAAAAACCGGATCCTGACCAATACTCTCTTCTGATCGGTTTTAAAAACCTTGCTTGAAATCCGAGCATAGACGGCCGAAGTCCCAGAATACAGGACGTGAGAACTGCTTCTTGTTCTCCAAAAGGTTAGAATACCATTTATTTATGTCTGGCAAGGCATGATACACCTAAAGATTTTTAAACAATCAACTGATATCAAATTCATCAAAATGTACGGGGTTAAATCCAGAATCATACTTTTCCGGCATCATAATATTGGCTTATTCAAAACGTATGGATCATTTGATCTATTTTCATGTTGACAGTTCTAACCGACTGTTAGAAAAATGTTATGAAAATGGGTAAATTACTTATACTTTTCTCGGGTTGATTTGCCTACTTATACCCCTTTGACCATGAAACTAGAGGCAGTTTGTTATTAGAAGAGACAGAATTAAGACAGAAATAGAGATTTTACCAAAATGCTCATGATGATGAAATATTGTTCATGTTTTTATCTTTCTTTTTTTGTTGAACTTGTTTTCCATTTCCCATTCGGTCATTCCTCCATTTTACCAAAATGCACTTTTGTTCATGGAAAAACAAACACTTCTTAGTGAAAAGGCCAATTAAGTAAATAGGTTGTTATAGGGGTGTTTTAATAAAATGAAAACTATAGGATAGGTTTAAGTAAATCCATGAAACTATAGGGGGTGTTCTAGTAAATGACCATTTTGTTTACATATTCTACTTTCCATCTCTAAAACTGGTTGTATAGGGCTGTTAACGGGTTGGGCAGGTAAAACTAGAACTGACCCGATAAGAAATATTAAGGACCTAGAACCAAACCAATAAGTTCTCAAGACAATCAGGTCTGACCCAATGGACCCAATTATAATAAACCTATTGAAAATACTATACATAATATATTAACTTATTTTTAACATATTGTACATTTAAGATATATATATATATGATCGAGTCGAGTCTGAGTTAGTTTGGGACTAGGTGGAACCAATTTCGAACTGATAATAATTGATACAATATATCAAGAACTGAAGCCAACCCATCAGTTTCAGTTCCTAGAACCAAAACCGGCCCAATCGATTTGGGTCCATTGGGTTGGGCCTTGATCAATTGACATCCCTAGGATCATATGGGCGGGTGGGAGTGGGGGGTAACAAACTAGCAATCATCCCAAACCGTAAGAAGTTAAGTTAATGGGTAAAGCCATGGGGAGGTCTTAGCATTTGACCTAAACCTAGGGGAAGTATATAATTTACCCTAGATGAAGTTTGTGTAATTCAAGCACTTACTAGTCATGTTAAATCTTAATTGCCTAGCCTATCAAAAAAAAATTTCTAAAAATTCCCTACAACTCCAATTATTAAAAAAGACATATGTTTATTGTCAAGACAAAAGAAGAATAAAAAGGACATGGGCTAAAGTAGTAAGAAATTATTTAAATGCTCATAATTTAACAATATTAGTTATGATGGTGAATAGAATGGAATGGAAAAACAAGAGGATTAAGTGGCGGATCTATGTAGAAGTCAGTGTGGTTATTTCACAGTTGTACAAGGTGTAAGAGGTGAGACCAGTGATATGCGCCCACTGATCAAATGTCCTAGATCAACCACTGAGGATTCATCATGTAGCTGACTTATAATGGTGATAATGGTGATGATATACATGTATAAATATAACAGATATTAGTAAACTTATTTGGATATATACTAAATTTTAACCAAATTCTAGTTCAAAGACATGTGAAAGCTATTTTTATTAGTTGGTTCCATAGTGATCTAGTAGTATTCAAATCAGATCGTTGTTGTCCATTTAAAATCCAGAAAATCACATTCAGATATATCAAACTCAGATACTTCCAATCTAACCCATTTCAGAACTTAATAATTAAGCCAATATATGGGTCCAATGGAGAAAAAAAAATTCTTAGTAAATGCATGAAACTAGCTAGGAAGGGAGGACTCTTGTCAATTACCTCTTACTTCTTGATCATGGCATAGCCTGGATGCCAACGTTGTCTTGCCACATCCACCAGGAGCAGATAATACCACCACTGTCACACCTTCCTCAAATAATTCTATCTTCAATTCTTTCAGAGGCACATCCAATCCAACAGTCAGACTCGGGAGACCAGGAACCGCACACAAATTCGAATTATTGAACCCACCACCACCATTTCTCTCTCCCAAACTCAATCCACCAACCCTGTGAGTCAGTTCCTTGAGTTCAACCATAATCTCTTGGGTAATGCACCAGATATCGGCCTGAGCATCAAGTTGAAAGAAGCTTCTCAGAGATTCATCCAGCTTGATAAACCTCTTTGAGTACTTGTACTTCTTGATGTAGTTCCACTTGGGAATCGTCTCACACTCTGTGACGAACTTCTTCCCTTTATTCAACTGTTCAACAAGTTTAACAACATTGGGCCTCGGCCGATCTGTTAACTGATCACCCAATGCTTTTCCCCTTTCGACCACAGGCTTTACGTCTGCAAGTGTGGACTTGAGCCGCTCTAGGTGCTGCCGGAATTGGACAGCCTTCTTCGTTTCTTCTATAATCAACTTCAGCAACTCCGATGCCACAGCCCCGACTGCAGCCCCATCAAGCAATGACGCCGCCATGAGAGAATTAACAATCAAGGAGAGCAAAACTGGAATTGCTTCTCAAGGTTTTTATTTGTGAATTTGTTTCTTCTCCTCCACGGAAGTGTGATCTTTTCAAACTTTGTTTCTCAAAGTCGTCGGCAGACGACCTTTTCAGACTTTGTTTATTTAGCTGGGAATCTCCAGTTCAATTCTACTGCATACAACATTAATCGCTAATTAATGGGCTGTTCAGGAATCAGAATCATTAATGCAAACCATTCAGTTCTTCAACTATTCTACAGTTGGATTTGACGACGTGAGACCTTGGATAACAGAAAAGCAGAAAAGTCAATTTCGAAATACATTTTCATTAAACGACTTTTTCGCAATACCTGCTCCGGCCGAAATCCGGATCTAATGAGAACACTTCCGTTATCAAGCGTACGGATACCTAACAAACCGCGTCATTATCACGCGTGTCGAGCATCATACCGTAACACAGTGGAAGGACATGGCTTAGAGACCAAGGGAAAATTCCAAGCACCCTGTATTTTTCAGGCTGTATTTGGTTGTAGTACAATTTTATTTGAAATAGTACAAATACATGAGAATGCAAGGACATGGCTTAAATGCAAATTCTTATTCGGGTTCCGTTTGGTTTGCAGGAATTGGAATCGGAATGGGTTATTTCAAATTCAATTGTTTGGTTGGGCGGAATCCAAACCAAACGGACTCTTAATTTTGTTTTGGGTTTTATTTTATATGTTTCATGTCTTAATTTACTTCATTTGTATGCAATCAAACAAAATAAGCTATAAAATTTGAAACAAAAATAGGTCAGAATTTATACTTCAATCTTTGCATTGTCATAATTTTGCATCAATGCAAATTTATTTATATTGCAACCAAACACAGCCTTAGAGGTAGTCTCGCTTTGTTACCTGAACTTTCAAATGTGTCATTAAAATACCTGAATACCTGAAAACTATCGATTTAGTCCAAAATACATTAAATAGCATGTAAAAGGATAAAAATGCCCTTCATATATTATCTAATTTTCTTTATCAATTAACCAAAGCCTGCTCATTATTAATACCCAAAACAGTTCCCTTTTGTTTTGCCATGAAAATGCTTGGCGCAGACTTAAACAGAGACTCCACTTTATTATTCATACCTAAAATCAGTTCCCTTTCTCACTGTTTCACTGTGGTTGGAAGTCGCTAATTTGTTAACGTGTAAGGTTATAACCAAGAGAAGAAGCGGAAGGAAGGAAATCACAGAAGCTGATTTCTTCGAATTCCTTGGTTTCAAAGCGGTGATAGTCACAAAGGACATCACAGAGGCTATGTAAATTTATTTACATTGCAATCAAACACAGTCTTACGGGTAGTCTCGCTTTATTACCTGAACTTTCAAATGTGTCATTGCAGTATCTGAACTCTTGAAAATTATCAGCTTAGTTTAAAATACTAGGGGTGCTCATTGAATAGTGAGCCGGTTTTGTAACCGAACCAGTACTATCAGTTTTTAGAAAAGTGGTAACCAAAACCAATCAGTTAACTGATTGACCAGTTCGGTTCATCAATTTTTTGGTTTTTTATTTTTATACTATATATAATAAAAATTATAAATATATATAAAATATTATATTTTAAATAATAAATGATATATCATATATTTATATATAATGCATATTTGTTAATTTATAATATATGAAAAATATTAAATATATATATATATAATATATAATATAAATAAATATATATAATATATAAAAATACATGTATATCGGTAATTGGTTCGGTTAACCACTAGTTTTCTATATTGGTTAATCGAAACTGTACCAATACCTTCGATTTTTTAAAACACCGAACCAATTGGTTCGGTTAATCGATTTTTCGGTTCCGTTTGATTTTTCATTTTTTTCTCACGCCTACAAAATACGTTAAGTAGCATGTAAAAAGATAAAAACGCCCTTCATGTGTTATCTAATTTTCTTTATCAACCATGTTCATTATAAATGTTGGATTTTAATCTCATAAGAGATTAAATCCAATGGGTTTGATTGGTCAATTACATGAGAAATTGCATTTGCACACTTGATTGAAAAATCAATTTTTTCTCTTACAAAACCCAGTTTTGAACTTGTCCCATATTGGAAAATTATAAGTTTTGTTTTCAGTATTTCAATAGGAGCTGATTTACACTCCTTAGAATTAATAGATGAGAGTACAGGGATTCGATACTGCGCAACACGCGCGCACGTATGTGCATGCGTGTGTGTGACACAATGAGGCACTTTAGAGGTGCACTTTGCTCGCACTTTGCGTGGCTCGTGATGGGCGGATTTGGTTTTGGTGCGTTGCTGACCGTTGATCTCATCAACGGTCACGATTCGATCGGGTATGATCAAGAGGCACAATTCAAAGTTAACAGTTACTAACCCTTAACTACTTTTTAAACAAATTATTTAAAAAGCATGAATCAGACTCCAAAACACACAATTTTGAAATTCACTCTCTCTCTCTCTCTCAGTCCGGTCTGCTACAGTCTCACAGAAGGTTTCTTTGGAAACTCTTCAACTTTGCTGGTTGCAGATTCTCGCCCAAGGCTCTGTTGTATCCTGGGAACGAATTTGCTTATAACCCAATAGCAAAATCAGTGAAACTGAGTGGGGGCAAATAACATTCTAAAGACAGTGTCATCAGACGCGCCTCAGAGCTTCTCCTCCAAAGTTACAGTGACCCCATGTTCTCCAACAATAAATACCCAAAACCAGTTCCCTTTTCTTTTGCCATGAAAATGCTTGGCGCACACTCAAGAGAGGCTCCACTTCATTACTCAACCTATAATCAGTTCCCTTTCTCGCTGTTTTCACTGTGGTTGGAAATCACTAATTTGTTAGCGTGTAAGATTATAACAAGAGAAGAAGCGGAAGGAAATCACAGAGGCTGGTTTCTTCGAATTTCTTGATTTCAAAGCGATGATAGTCCCGAAGGAGAAAGGCCAAAATAAGATGTGAAGGTTATAAACATCGAGAAAACTATCTTGGTCACAGTCCAGTTGGAACTTGGAAGATGGCAGAAAGGGAAAGACCTACACTGGAACGCTAGGGGCAAGATATCTCAAAATTCGGACATGGAAGCGGCCAACCAGAGATATGAAAGATTAAAGAAGAGGAGTCCGAAGCTGCAGCATCTGAACTTCAGGGGATGAGCGGAGTCCGAACTCTGAAGAAGAGAAGAAGTTAGAGGTGGAAAACTTTTATCTGCTTTCAAGTATAAAACAGTCGTTGTTTGTTGCGAATTGTTCAACGGAGCAGATAATGGAGATAATATTTATCCACAGCTAGTTCTTACTTCTTAGGTTCACCGAAATGCAATCGTCTTCAAGGGGAGAGCACAACCATAAAAGAGACTTCCTTCTAATGAACGTGGGATTCTGTTCACCTTGCTCTCTGGTTTAATCTCAATGAAGGAGATAATGAACGTGTCTTTTCTAAAGGGTAATTTTAAAATTTTAAAATGTTTAAAATCACATGTGACATCACGATAGCTTATGCTAATGGTGGGTATTAATCTGGTAGTTTTCGAAAGTTCAGGTACTATAATGGCGACTACCCCTAAAATGCAGGGTGTTAATCTAGAACTTTCCATTTTTTTTAAATACATGATTAGTCGAAACCCATAAGTGCTTATTAAGCAAAAACAAAACTGGGAATATGATATTTTCAATGGGCCAAGCTGGTTGAGTTGAACCTAAGTTGAATAGGCTTTGTTAATTTTTTTAATTATATTAATAATTTTTTATCATTTTTATTATTTTTCAAAATTCATCTAAATTTTAAATTAATATTATTATTTATTTATTAGTTAACTTTAAATTCTTTAATATATAATCTTAAAATTTTACAATTTTTATTAAACAGTTTTAAAAATAATTACATTCGTATATTAATTCTAATTTAATTTTAAATGGAATTTATTTTGAATAGTTAAAGGGAATTTAACTTACCCAAGTTATAATTAATTATAATTAATACAAAATAATTAACTAAGTTTGATTAATGCATTTTTTTGTTATATTTTTATTAATTACTGATTATAATAACATTATTTGACACCCATTTTATCTCGCACCATATAATGTTTGTTGATGAGGGCAGATTTGGCCCTCCAGTGAAATTGTGGCACGTGGCACCTCATGACAAATAGGCGACACCCAGGCAACAACTTAGCAAGTTGGTGTCCCACCCAAGCACCGGCCTGGTCGGCCTGGCGCGGCCTGCGCGCTGCCTGGCACGCGACCTGCGCACTGCCTGGTGCGGCTTGCGCAACCTGGCCGACCTGGATCAGCCTGGCACATGATCCGACCTGGCCGACCTGGCAACCCATAAGACGCCCACCGATAAACTCGGCATGCATACCCCACGAGCTCGGTAGCTCACCAAGGAGTTCGCCAAGGAGCTCGATAGCTCACCAAAGAACTCGCCAAGGAGCTAGGCAGCTCTCCAAGCAGCTCGCCAAGGAGCTTGCCACCAAGGAATCAGGCAGCTCGGCAGAGCTCTCCACAAGCAGCTCGACATAGCCCAAGGAGCTCAGCATAGCTCCCCCGGGCAGCTCGCCACTTGTAGGGTAGCTCGGTACAAAAGAGTAGTTTGGCGTATCGCAGGAAGATCTCCTACCTGAGAACCGTACCTGACAGATCTGGAGACCTGCGCCCACGTCTCGCCAGGCGACGCCTTGCCTGGCAGAGCCGTACACTGCAACAGTCGCCTGCACCCGCCACCTCAGCTCTGACAGCGACGACTACGGCAAAGAGACAAAGGCGGTCATGCCTGACTTGACAGAGGCAATCACGCCTGATTTGACAGGACACCGCTATATAAGGACTCCAACCCCCAAAGGCAAGGGGGAGAGAATGAAAAAATGGAGGTAATCCCTGCTCTCTAGCTCTCTCATTCCTCTAATATCATCTTCAATCTCTCGACAATCAGAGTGCTAACTTAGGCATCGGAGAGTCCTCGCCGGGTAAATACCCCCGGGCCCCCTAGTTCAATTCTCGCAGGTTCCTCAGCTCCCACCGCCTACAAAGAGGAGGAAAAGATGGAGTTCTCGCAGGTCTCTCAGCTCCCGCCGCCTACAAAGGAGAGGAGATCACCTCATGCAGAGGGCAGTT